TACATTAAAGGGAAGAGGTTAACCAGGGAAAGAGCAGGGCCCATTAGGGACCACGGGGACAACCTGTATGTGAAGCCACAGGATATTGGAAGGGTGTTGAATGAATACTCCTCTTCATTCTTCACTCTGGAAAGGAGAACGTAGGTACAGAATTCAAGAAAAGGGACTGGGAGGAACCTGAACAGTTTTGACATAGGAAATGGGGAGGTATTGGAGGCTCTGTCAGGCTTTAAAATAGACAAATCGCCCGGCTCGGATGAATTGCAAAGAAGATGGTTGTAGGTTACAGCAAGATATAGATGGGTTGGTCAGAAGGGCAGTCCAATGACAGATGGTATTTAATACAGATAAGTGTGAGGTGATGCACTTTGGAAGAAGAAACAAGACAAAGGAGTATTTAATGAATCAGAGGAGCAGGAAAGCTGACGTTTTGGGTCTCAAAACGTCAGCTTTCCTGCTCCTCTGATGCTGCTTGGCCTGCTGTGTTCATCCAGCTCTACACCTTCTTATCTCAGATTCTCCAGCGTTGGCAGTTCCTACTATCATAGAGTCATAGAGCTGTACAGCATGGAAACAGACCCGTCAGTCCATCTCATCAATGCCGACCAGATTCCTAAATTAATCTAGTCCCAATTGCCAGCATCTGGCCCATATCCCTCTAAATCCTTCCTATTCACGTACCCATCCAGATGCCTTTTAAATGTTTTAATTGTACCAGTCTCTCCCACTTCTTCTGCCACATCATTCCATACACAAACCACCTTCTGTATGAAAATGTTGCCCCTTAGTTTCTTTTTAAATCTTTCACCTCTCATCTTAAACCTATGCCCTTTAGTTTTGGACTCCCCTTCCCTGGGGAAGTGATCTTGGCTATTCACACCCTCCGTGCCCCTCATGATTTTATAAGCCCTCTATAAAGTCACTTATAGCCCCAGTCTATTCAGCCTCTCCCTATAACTTAAACCATCCAACCCTGGCCACATCCTTATAAATATTTTTTGAATCCTTTCAAGTTTAGCACCATCTTCCCTATAGCAGGAAGACCAGAATTGAACGCAGTATTCCACCTAACTGTTCTAATCCAGCACTTGTTCCACAGCCTTGAGTGCCTGGGTATCGCAAGTGCACATCTAAATACTTCTTAAATGTTGTGAGGGATTTCTGCCTCTGCCACCCTTACAGACAGTGAGAAAGTACCCTCTCCAGTGCTGTCACATCCTCCATGTATGTGTAATGATCCTTGTTAGTATGTTCATTGCGTGTTATCAGCACACAATGAGGTTAGAGTGGACAAACTGAATTTCCTTCAAAATTCACACCCTGTAACTGCGCCAGATCTCTCACTGCCTCGTGGTTAGAAACCTTCCAATTCATTCATTCTGTTCATGGTTGTGGGTCATTGGTGAAGGTATCAGAGCTGGTTTTAGGTAGGGACAAATTACAAAACCTATAAGATCCTGAGGAGAGTTGACAGGGTAGATACTGACAGAATGTTTTCCCTACTAGGAGACACTAGAACCAGAGGAGACTGTTTAATGTCTCTCTTTTAAGACAGAGATGAGGAGAATTCTTTTTTTTATTCTTCTCAGAGAATCATTGGTCTGTAGGGTTCTCCTTCCCAATAGTGGCAGGGCTGTTAGCTTTATTCAAGGGGCTGAGTGAGAGATTTTTGATAGATATGGGAGGCAGAGAAGAAAGTGGAGTTGAGATCACAATCAGATCAGCCATGATTTTACTGAATGCACGAGCAGACTTGAAGGGCTGAATGGCCTACTCCATGTTGCTACTTAGGTCATCCAACCTCTCAAATCATTAACTTAGTCCTTGGCTGATCTATAATAGGCCTCCAATTCTGCACCTTGTTCCATAACCCTGGGTTAACAATCGATCAATTTGTATTAACATGTTCAATGACCTGCAGCTGTACCATCTGCTAATGGGAGGCGATGGTCTACTGGTCTTATCACTGGACAGTTAATCCAGGGATCCCGGGTAATGTTCTGTGGACCCAAGTTTGAATCCCGCCATGGCAGATGGTGGAATTTGAATTCAATTAAAAATAACCTGGAACTAATTAATCACTAATTTAATGATAACCATAAATTAATTGATTGTCACTAATGTCCTTTAGGGAAGGAAACTGCCATCCTTACCTGGTCTGGCCACCAGTGACTCCAGACCCACAGCTATAAATGCTGACCCAGCCAGTGATGCCCTCAACCCAAAAATGAATAAAACAAAAACGTTGTGTGGGATTGAGAGATCCAGTTCTATTGTCCCTGCTTTGGCAAATATTATATCCTGACCCCCGAACAGCCTGGCTCGCAATGTTAACAGAAGATGATTTATATTTGAACCCATGGGATAAGGATATTAGGATGGTGAGGGGGGTGGAGGGTGCCAGCTATGACACCGAATCAGGTTTTGATCACAGAATGATAAATACAGGAAATTCAAGACAGCTGAATACACACAGCCAACATGTTTAAAAATCTTTCTTCTAATTCAAACCAGCTAACCCAAGCCTTAGCTCTACTTCTCAGCTTTAGCCACAAGTGTTGTCCCATCCAACATACAGTGAGTACTATATCTTTAAATTTGTCACACTGTGATTTCATCATCCTACATTTACCGCATTGTGCTACATCCCGAGTACTTGCTGAAAAAATCCCCACAATGTCATTCTCAGCTCACAACATGTAAGACTGTTCCTCACAGGTCGACCCTGCTTTTTTGTGGCTGTTGGTCTGTAATGAGGTTGACCAGCAAAGCTGCTCCCAAACCCAGGACACAAGTTGGATATCTTACCCCATATTTCTCAGCTCTCAGAAGTGCTTCAACCTCTGCTATTTTACTCATTGAATTTCATTAGTACAACTGTATCTCTGTAAAATCTATTCTGATAGAGTGGGGAATTGACCTGTACAGGAGCTTGTACAAATACATTGCTGTATATTGTTAAGGTTGGGTGAGGTGGAGGGGAGAGGTTTCCCTCTCCAACCCCACTCTTCATTTGACAGCAATAGTTTTCTTCAAAGCCAACCTTCCATCCACTGACTCCATCTACACTTCTCACTTCCTCGGGAAGACAGCCAACATCATCAAAGACCCCTCCCACCCCGATTGTAATCTCTCCCAACCTCTTCCAACGGGCAGAAGATACAAAAGCTTAAATACACGTACCAACAGATTCAAGAACAGCTTCTTCCCTGCTGTTATTAGACTGCTGAATGGACCTCTCAAATTTTAAATTTAATGTTGATCTTGCTGTTTGTGCACCTTCTCTGAAGCTGTAACATTATATTCTTCGCTCTGTTCTATTACCCTAATGCACTTCGTATGGTATGATCTGCCTATACTGCACACAAAACAAAATTTTTCACTGTACCTAGGTACATGTGACAATAAATCAAATCAAATAAAAGGACATGCATGTCACTTCAGTGAGTAATTAATCATTTACATGTTATGACTATAACAAAGACACGGAATTCCTTAAGATTGTTTAAAAGAAAGAGCTTAGTGCTTCTTGTAGGTACCCGTAAAATAATTTAAAAACATTTCAACTTCCACACACTCACTTGAAGTTTCTCTGATCCTATGTATTGTGGGATTGCTTAGCTCTGCCCAAAACTTGCTGTTTTCTCTGTGTTTATTGTCATGTGTACTCAAGTACAGGAGTAAAATGAAAAGTTTACAAAGTTGCTATTTCCAACATCAGCTTAGGTACAAAGCTAGCTAGGTACAAAATCTTAGGTATAAATTAGAAAAATAAAGAAATAGTTAAAAGTTCGGCATTACAGTCCTTCGAAAGCAGAGAAAAAGTAAAAGCAAATGGAGCAGATGAGTTTGTGCTGAGTATCACCACGAGTCTGGGAGTCCACACTGGGCACACAAGTAGTCTTCAACTCACCAGGTTGGCACCTCACCCAACCCAGAGTACATTCTATACCCTTGCCACCCTCCCTGCTTCCTCTAAGTGATGTTAACATTGAGGAATACTGATTCATCAGCTGAGGGAGGACATTATGTGGTAATCAGCAGGAAGTTTCCTGGTCCATGTTTACCTGAAGCCATGAGACTTTGTGAGGTCTGGAGTCAACGTTGAGGACTCCCAGAGCAACTCCTTCCAGACTGTATCCCACTGTGCTGCCACCTCTGCTGGGTCTGTCCTGCCCATGGAACAGGACATACCCGGTGATGGTGATGGTGATGGTGATGGTGATGTCTGGGACATTGTTTGTAAGGTAAGATTCTGTGAGAATGACTATGTCAAGCTGGTGCTTGTCTAGTCTGGGACACCTTTCTGAATATTGGCACTAGCCCCCAGATGTGGAGTTAGTTATAGCTGGATGGCTTTCTAGGGCTATTTCGGAGGCAGTTAAGAGTCAACCACATTGCTGTGGGTCTAGAGTCACATGAGTCACACCAGGTAAGGATGGCAGTTTCCTTCCCTAAAGGACATTACTGAACCAGATGGGTTTTAATGACAATGACCATTGATTTCCAGGTCACGTTATGACTCCTCTGTTTTTCAACTGGAGAATATAAATTCCTCTTAAACCCATGTGCCAGAGCGTTGGCCTGGCTGTCTGGACAATGACAATATCAAGAAACCACTACTTGTCCCTGGATTTCAACCATTAATTTTGTTGGGTTTTCTCATTATTCATGACTTTGTGACAATATCAATATTTAGCCAACACTGTCGCTTTGTCAATGTGCCTCAGTCTTTACCAAGCCAAACCTCTGAAGAGCATTGGTTGCCAACTCAGTTTCCCAAATTCCATGATCGATCCCTAATCCCTGCTGGACCTTCACTAGAAGATCACTGGGAACTAAAGTAAGGAGTCATCTTGACTGCTTCCCTGGGGTTTTTCCAGATCTTCCTTGAATGTTGTGGTGGAGATTTGCAAATCTCCAATCAGAGCATCTGCCAGAATTCCATGCTGAAATTCTGTCATGGTGTCAGGAGTAACTCTCTATTCATGGATGCTTTCCTTTTCAAATACAGGATTGTGTTCTGTGCAGAAAACTCTGCATCTGTGAAGATTCAGCCAGCAGAGGAGGTAACTCTTGTCAAGTGTCACAGTTGATTGACTTGCAAGAAGACCAGCTGATGAGGTGAGTGCACTGGTTAAGAAAGAAGGTAAAAAAGATTCTGGGACGTCATGGTTGGTTCTCCAAGTTATTGCCTGGCACTAGAATAATTCTAATCATTAGAAATTCAGGGAACACCAGGGAACACAGCGCATATTTTGTGAGGGAGTAAGGATATATTAAATGAGGCCATACAAATGTCTCCCTTCCCAGCTCAACTGGTTTAATTACCTTTTAACTGAAGGTGATTCTCTCCTGCACTTTATTAATGCAGTGACAGCTGAGGTGACGACAAAGGAGCAGATCTATCGAAAATTACAAAAAAGACTTGCATTTGAATAGCACTTTTCACACCACCACACTTATAGAGTCATAGAGATGTGCGGCACAGAAACAGACCCTTCGGTCCAACTCGTCTGTGCCAACCAGATACCCTAAATTAATCTCGTCCCACTTGCCAGCATTTGGCCCATGTGCCTCTGAACCCTTCCTATTCATATACCCATCCAGATAACTTTTAAATGTTGTAATTGTATCAGCCTCCACCATTTCCTCTGGCAGCTCATTCCATACACACACCACCCTCTGCATGTAAAAGTTACCCCTTAGGTCCCTTTTAAATCTTTTCCCCTCTCACCTTAAACCTATGCCCTCTAGTTTTGGATTCCCCTATCTTGGGGAAGAGACCTTGTCTATTTACCCTATCCATGACCCTCATGATTTTATAAACTTCTATAAGGTCCTCCTCAGTCTCCTGCGCTCCAGGGAAGATAGCCTCAGCCTATTCAGCCTCTTCCTATAGCTCAAACCCTCCAACTCGGCAACATCTTTGTAAATCTTTTCTGAACTCCTTCAAGTTTAACAACATCTTTCCTATAGGAGGGAGACCAGAATTGAATGCAATATTATCCAATGAAGTTTCTTATTCTTTTATGAGATGTGAGAGTCATACCTGGCTCATGCTTATTGGCCATCCCTAGTTGCCCTTGGGAAGGTGGTTAGCTGCCTTCTTGAAACACTTGTGGATTCCTAGCCTCTGACCTGCTGTTGTAACCACTGTGTTTCTGTGGCGAATCCAGTCAGCTTACAGTCAATGATAACTCTCACGGATGTTGATAGTGGGGTATTCGGTGATGGTAACATCGTTGAATGTCAAGGGGCAGTGGTTAGATTGTCTCAAATTGGTGATGATCCTTGCCAGGTACTTGTGAGGCATGAATGAATGTTACTGGCCACTTATGAGCCCAAGTGTAGTGTAATCAATGTTGTAATACAGGAAACATTAGCCAGTTTGTGCACAGCAAGATCCCAGAAACAGCCATGTTATAACCCGGTCATCTATTTTTTTTCGTCATAGTGACTGGAAGAGAAATGTTGGCCAGGAATAGAATAAATTTGTTATTTTCATCAGATGCCAGCCTTTGCTCAGTGAGTGGAACTTGAGCTTGCATGTTTTAAATTCTCTGCAACAGTTCAAGCTGACACTTCAGTTGCAGTCCTGAAGGAATACGACTCTGTCACGTGTCATCTTCCAGGTGAATCGATAAACTAAGACCCCCAGTTATTCTCTCCTATGCACAGAATAAACCCCATGGCACCAGTTTAAGGAGGAGCTGAGGAATTCTTGCCAAAATTGCCACATAACCAACCACATTAAAGACATACTTGTCCGAGTCATTATCTCATTCGTGCCTGTGGGATCTTGTCATGTACAAATTGCATTGTACTCCTTGCATTTCCCTCCATTAGAACAGTGATCACACAATGTTGTTTTTGTGGGAAGGTAATAGCCTTATTTTTTAATTCACTCATGGGATGTGGGGGTCGCTGGCTGGCCAGTATTTATTCCCCATCCCTAGTTGCCCCTTGAGAAGGTGGTGGTGAGCTGCCTTCTTGAACCGCTGCAGTCTTCCTGCTGTGGGTTGACCCACAGTATTATTAGGGAGGGAATTCCAGGATTTTGACCCAGGGACAGTGAAGGAACGGCGATATATTTCCAAGTCAGGATAGTGAGTGGCTTGGAGGTGGTGGTGTTCCCATGTATCTGCTGCCCTTGTCCTTCTAGATACAAGTGGTCATGAGTTTGGAAGGTGCTGTCTGAGGATCTTCAGTGAATTTCTGCAGTGCATCTTGTAGATCATAGAATCCCTACAGTGTGGAAACAGGCCCTTCGGCCCAACAAGTCCACACCGACCCTCGGGCCATCCCACCCAGACCCATCCCCCTATAACCCACGTAGTCTACACATCCCTGAACACTACAGGCAATTTAGCATGGCCAATCCACCTAACCTGCACATCTTTGGACTGTGGGAGGAAACCCAGAGAAAACCCACGCAGGCACAGGGCAAACTCCACACAGACGGTGGCCCAAGGGTGGAACCGAACCCAGGACCCTGGTGCTGTGAGGCAGCAGTGCTAACCACTGAGCCACCCTGCCGCCCCAAAGTAGATAGTATACACTGCTGCTACTGAGTGTCGGTGGTGGAGGGAGTGAATGCTTGTGGATGTGTTACCAACCCATGGGACAACTTTGTTCACACAGAGGGTGGTGTATATATGGAATGAGCTGCCAGAGGAAGTGGTAGAGGTGGGCACAATTACAACAGTTAAAAGACATTTGGACAGGTATGTGGATAGGAAGGGTTTAGAGGTCTATGGGCGAAATGCTGGCAAATGAGATTAGTTCAGTTTAGGAAACCTGGTCAGCATGGATGAGTTGGGCTGAATGGTCTGTTTCCATGCTGTATGACTCTGACTCTAATCAAGTGGGAGGGTTAGTGTCAAGCTTCTTGAGTGTTGTTGAAGCTGCATCCATCCAGGCAAGTGGGGAGTATTCCATCACACTCCTGACTTGTGTCTTGTAGATGGTGGATAGGCTTTGGGGACCAAAGTTACTCACCTCAGTATTCCTAGCCTCTGGCCTGCTCTTGTAGCCACTGTGTTTCTGTGGCAAGTCCAGTTGAATTTCTAGTCAATAGTAATCCCAGGTAATTCCAGGGGATTCAGAATTGTCAAGGTACAGTTGTTAAATCGTCTTATGGTCATTTTATGGCATTTGTGTGGCACAAGTATTGCTTTCTACATCTCAGCCCAAGCCTGGATATTGTCCAGATCTTGTTACACGTGAACATGGACTGCTTCAGTATCTGAAGAGTCATAAATGGTGCTGAACATTGTGCAATCATCAGTGAACATCCCCACTTCTGACCTAATGACAGAAAGGCCTAGTATTATCAGTGGACTAGTAATTCAGATAGCCAGGTAATGTCCCAGACACCTGGGTCCAAATCTCACCATGGGATTTTTAAAAAAATATGGAATTAAAAATCTAACAAAGCCATCAAATGATGTTGTAAAAACCCATATGGTTCACTCATGGTCTTCAGGGAAGAAACTGCCATATTTGACTGAGTCAAGGAGTTGTAGCAAAACTGGAATCAATGGATATCAGGGAGCAAACTCTCCGCTGGTGGGGACACACTTGGAACATAAGAAAATGGTCACGGATGTTGGAGGTCAGTCATCTCCGCTCCAGGGCGTCTCTGCAGGATTTCTTCAGAGTTGTGTCCTAGGCAAACTTCAGCTGCTTCATCAATGGCCTCCACAACATCGTAAGGTCAGAAATAGGGATGTTTGCTGACAATGGCACAAGGTTCAGCACCATTCGCAACTCCTCAGATACTGAAGCAATCCATGTTCAAATGTAACAAGATCTGGACAATTTCCAGGCTTGGACTGACAAGTAGCAAGTAACATTTGCATCACACAAATTCTACAGGATGACCATCTCCAATAAGAGAGAATCTAACCATTGCTCCTTAATATTCAATGGCATTACAATCAATAATTCCCCCACTATCAATATCCTGGGGTCACCATTGACCGGAAATTGAACTGAACTGTCTATATAAATACTGTGGCAGGTTAGAGGGTAGGAATCCCACAACAATAACTCACTTTCTGGCTGCTCAAAGCCTGTACCTTGTAAATGGTAGACAAGTCAGGTAGGTCAAAATCCTGGAATTCCCTCCCCAAGGGCATTGTGTGTCTACCTACAGCACGAAGACTGCATTGGTTCAAGTAGGAAGCTCATCACCACTTTCTCAAGGGCAGCTAGGGACGGGCAATAATTGAGGGATTCAGATGTGGTAACACCCTTGAATGTCAAGGGGCAGAGGACAGATTGTCATTGCCTGGTGTTTGTGTGCTGTACATGTTACTTGCCACTTGTCAGCCTGGATATTATCGGGGTCTTGTTGCATATGAACATGGACGGGCTCCATTTTTCTCATTGTCACTGGGCCAATATCTTTGAATTCCTTCAAACTATTTCAGGAGCAGCATCACCACGATGACTGCAAGGGTTTGAGGTGAAGGATTTCCATCGTCTCCTCAGGGTACCTAGGAATAGGCACCAAATATGGCCTTGCCAGTGAAGGTCACATCTTGAGATCAGAGCAGCGAAAATCTCCATGACAGATTCATCCTAGTGCTAGCCAACAACAATTGGGATTTGGTGGCAGGAAGGCAGAATAACATTGTCTTGAACGTTGTGCAGTATCAGAACCACTCAAAGAAGTGTTTGAAGAATTTCCTGCAGTATTTATTCAGCCAAAGTTTTGCTATTTGTCACAGATTTTTCAACCGTTGTTCCTTCTTGTTTTTGTGAATTTTATGTAGGTGCGGACAGAAGAATTTCCTTCTGATAACATGTCAGTATCCCGAGAACATCATCCTCTCGACACACACATCGCAGTCTCTGACCCACCTTCTTTGGTTGTTGGAATTCTGAAGAAATCAGATGGGTGATTGGCTTAAAAAGGCTCAAGACAAACTGCTCATGAGAGAACCAAAAAGAAACTCTTTGTTCTGATAACAAAAAGACTATTTTCAACAGAATTTTTCATACATTGTGTGCTTTATTATCTGTTATGCATATAACTTCCATTTGACACATTGTTACAGTCTGACTGTTATAGGAGTGACAGAACATCGTCCCATTACTGTAAGACTGAACTACAATCTTTTACTGCAGCATGAACAACTGGATACAGTCTCACTGCAGTGTGAGTGATGCAGTACAGTCTTGTTATGGTGTGAGTAAGTTAGTATAAGATAAATGCTACAGTCTCACTGGAGCTTGAGTGACATGGTACAGTCTTACTGCGGCATGAGTGATCTGGTACAGTCTCATTACAGCCTGAGTGTAGTGTCAGTCGATCAGAAATGGTGTCTAATGAATTACTCATTCTCCGCAGTATTTATTAAATGTATATATAAGAATATATAAATCCACTTTGTACATATGATATTCTTCACTTGTATTTCTTGAGTCTCACTGTGCAGTTGGTCTGACACTGTCGTAATCTCCCTTTCCCAATAATGTCCTCATTTGTGGATGTGTAAAAGTTGCAGTTTGTTTCTGTCTGTAAATGGGGGGCTTATTCTGCAATATTTTAACATTAATATCATTGGAGCAGTCTCCATTGGTTAAACCACAATGTTTACTCTCCAGTTCAGTTTAACAGCCAGCATGAAATCCAGTGTTTTAACCCCTAAACTCTTACTAGTATTGGAGGGGAGCTGGAATTAACCACATACAGTTGGTCTCTGGGCCTTGTGCTGCTCTCCCGTACCATATCACAGAAATGAGTCCCTATACTCTGTATCCTGAAACCGTTGTGACTTGTTGGTGTCGAGCAAACCTTTTCTCACCATTGTATCTTCAGAGTGTTTGCAATGCAGTCTGCCTGTGAAGGAATATCTCTACAGAATAGGAGAGCAGCACAATTTCCAGCCCAGTGTTTGGTTGTCATAGTAACTGCAACCATGGAGGCTCAAGAACAATGCCGGAAGCCAGTTCTCAGACCAGCCTGGTGGTTCTTCATAGAATGAGGAAACGTTACCTCCCTCCCTCAGATGCGCTGAGGGCTTAGCCATAGCTTTGCAATCCCTTCCACCAATCAACAAGTGAGCTACAGAACCAAATTCGACTCGCACAGTGGTTAAAAAGATGCTTTCAAAAATACTGCAATCGAGCAAAGAAATATTAGCAAAAGTGGATTGGCAGAAGTGTTAATGGAGGCCTGATGGCAGAATGGACATTACTGTAGCCAGTTTAGTGCCTGGATAAGACAGTCAGAATTTATCGCATAATAGCAGACTCACATCGTTTCATTTCTGGAAGGTCATCTTGAGTTCCACAGCCAGATAGACACTGACATACTACCTGACTGTCTCACATGCCTTCTTAACCACTTTATCCACCTGTCCCACTGTCCTAGGGGACCAGTGCACATGCATGCCAAGGTCCCTCTGATCCTTGGTACTTCCCAGGGTCTGTTTGCCTTGTTTGTCCTACCCAAGTACATCACTTTCCACTTATCCAGATTGAATTCCATTTGCCACAGGCCATCTGACCAGCTTGTCTATATCCTCCTGTAACCTAAGGCTATCCTCCTCATTATTTACCACCCCACCAATTCTCATTTCGTCCATGAACTTACAGATCAGCCCTCCTATATTGAAGTCTAAATCATTTATATACACCACACATAGCAAGGTCCCCAACAGTGACCCTTTGTGGATCATCACTGGACACAGGCCTCCAGCCACTAAAACACCCCTTGACTATCACTTTCTTTCCTGCCACTCAGCCAATTGTGGATCTAATTCTCGCAATTTCCTTGGATCCCATGGGTTCTCACCTTCATTATCAGTCTCCCCTGCACAACCTTATCAAAAGCTTTTCTGAAGTTCATGTAGACTACATCAAAAGCATTGCCGTTATTTACACACCCGTCACCTCTTTGAAGAATTCAATCAAGCTGATCAGAAGTGACCTCTCCTTAACAAAACCGTGCTGACTGTTCTTGATTAGTGCCGCCTCTCCAAGTGCAGATTAATTCTGTCCCTCGGAATTGCTTCCAATTGTTTCCCACCACTGAGGGTAGACTGAGTGGCCCATAATTCCCTGGTTTATCCCTTGTTTCCTCCTTGAATAACAGTACAACATTGGATATTCTTGAGTCCTCTGGCATTTCTCCTGTGCCCAGAGAGGAATTGAAAATGATTGCTAGTGCCCCTGCTATTTTTTCCCTTGCCTCACTCGACAGCCTGGATACATTTCATCTGACTCTGGAGATTTATCTACGTTTAACGCTGCCAAACCACTTAGAACCTCCTCTTGTCTATGCTAATTTCTTTAATAACATCACAGACCTTCTCCCCGATTTCCACACACATATCGTCTCTCGCTCGTGAACACTGACACAAAGTATTCATTTAGAACCCTACTAGCTCAATGTATAAATTATTACTGTAGTTCTCAATGGGCCCTACACTTTCCCTCATTATCTTTTTGTCCTTAATATACCTATAAAATAATTTAGGATTTTCCTTTTCTTCACCTGCTTCATGCCCCCTTTTCACTCTCCTAAGTTCTTCTCCAGTTTCTGCTGTTTTGAGCTCTCGGTATCTGCAATAAACCTCCCTTCTTCTCTTAATCCAGTGCTATATATCCTTCGATATCCAGATCTAACAGGATTTGATGGTCCTATCCTTTTTCTTTATTGGAACATCTTAGCCCCATACTCTCCATCTTTCCTTCTTGAATGCATGCCACTGTTTGGAGATTTACCTGAAAGTATCTGCTCCCATCCACTCTGGCCAAATTATATCCGATCTTATTAAAAATCAGCCTTTCACCCGATTTGGAACTTTGATTCAGGCCCATCTTTGTCTTTCTTCATAACAATCTTGATCTAAAAGAGTTATGATCCCTGTTTGTAAAATGCTCCCCCACTGATATTTCAAACAATCTCTCAGTTTCAGTACCTGTAATGAAGTCCAGGACTGCTCCCTTTCTTGTAGTGCCTTCTACACACTGGTTAAAGAAGCTCTCCCGGACACGTTTTAAGAATTCTGTTCCCTCTAAACCTTTTGCTCAAATGATTACCCCAGTTAATGTTGGGGATGTTGAAATCCACGACCAATACTACCCCACTACCTTTACATTTGCCTGAAATTTGCCGACCGATCCATTTCTCTCAGACTGTTATGAGGCCTATAGCACCCTCCCAGCAATGTGATTACTCCCTTTTGGTTTTGAGGTTCTACCCATAAGCTTCAGTTGAGGAGCCTTCTAAAATGTCATCCCTCCTTGCTGCGGTAATCAATTCACTGACCAAAATTGGGACCTCTTCTTCTCCTCTATTACCTCCTTCTTGCTCTTGAAGACCCTGCATCCTAAATATTGAGCTGCCAGTCCTGCCCCTCTCAAACATGTCTCAGTGACAGCAATGACACTATATGCCCAGGTTTTAGTCTGTGCCTTCAAATCATCTGCCTTGCTCATCAGACTCTTAGCATTAAAACAAACACCATCCAAAACCTTGCCAAACTCTCTGGTTCCTTAACTGGCCGATAATTTCAATGCCTCTTGACTCCTTTGCTGTCACTTCTAAATTTTGCCATTCAGATTCTCTCCACACACACATTCCCTCCCTCTCACCCCCCACCCGCTGGATAGCTCTGTGGTTAGCCTCACAGTGCTAGGGACCCGGGTTCGATTCCACACTCGGGCGATTGTCTGTGTGGAGTTTGCACATTCTCCCCGTGTCTGCATGGGTTTCCTCCCACAATCCGAAGGTGTGCAGGTTAGGTGGATTGGCCATGCTAAATTGTCTGGTAGTGTTCAGGGATGTATAGGTTATGTACGTTAGCTATGGGAAATGCAGGGTTACGGGGATAGGGTCAGGAGACAGGGATGGGGACGGGGATGGGTGGGATGCCCTTCGGAGGGTTGGTGTGAACTCATAGGACTGAATGGCCTGCTTCCACACTGTAGGGATTCTAAGGATTCTGCCTGGATCCCATGCCCCCCCACCTCAGACAAGTTAGTTTAAACTCTCCCCAAAGGCAATACCAAACCTCTTCACAAGGATGCTGGTCCCGTTCCAATCTAGGTGTGACCTGTATGCCTCATTCAGGTCTCACTGTCCCCAGAAACGGTCCCTCCCTCCGATACCACACATTGACATCCAGGCCATTTTTGACCAAGTGTGGTGTCAGGAGCCCTAGTAAAACTGGAGTCAGTGGGATTCAGGGAAAATCTCTCTGCTGGTTGGAATCATATCTGGCACAAAGGAAGATGGTTGTATTATTTCAGTTCCAGGACATCTCTGCAGGGGTTCCTTTCAGTACTGTCCCAGGCCCAACCATCCTCAGCAGCTTTCATCAATGACCTTCCGTCCATCATTAGCTCACCAGTAGGGGATGTTCACCAATGATTGCACAATGTTCAGCATCATTCACCACTCCTCAGGTACTGAGGCAGTCCATGTTCAAATGCGACAAGATCTGGACAATATCCAGGCTGGGGCTACTAAGTGGCAAGTAACAGTTGTACCACACAAATGCCAGGCATCAACCACCTCCAAAAGGACAGAATCTAACCAGAAGCTCTTGACATTTGATGGCATCAACATCACTCAATCCCTCACTATCAACATCCTGGGATGATTATTGACCACAAACTGCACTGGACTCCCACATAAACATAGTGGCTACAAGGTCAGAGGCTAGGAATTGTTTCAGAGATAGTAGGAACTGCAGATGCTGGAGAATCTGAGATAACAAGGTGTAGAGCTGGATGAA